CGTTAGTTAGTTTACGTTAACTAGTACGTATTACGTTACGTTTAGTTTTAGTTTATTAGTCGTCGTTGTAGTATACTACCTACTCGTCGTCGTCGTACTACTCTCTCTCTCTCTCTCTCTCTCTCTCTCTCTCTCCAACAAAAGGAACACCTAATGTTTTTTCTTCTCCATCTCTTGTACATACTTACTTGGTCCCTCTCTTCCTATTGACCCAATTGAAAAAAGTATGATTTCATGTTTTTTGATGCACATATTGATATATGAATCTTATTATCTCGCAAGGACGTGAGATTTTTTATTCTTTTGCTGCACACTCACTTATCTTTTTCAATTAGGTTAGTATAGGATGAACATCATTAAAAAAAAAACATATGGAATGAAGAAATAATCACTTTCCCATTGTTTTAACTTTCAAGAGAAATGTGGTTTTTTCAAAATTTCCCCTTTTCTATTTACCTAATTAATATATAGTCGTATATTATCATATCATCGTCACTCTCACACATTGCTTTCCCCATGCTTTCCCTTTTCAAGAAAAAAAATGTGGTTTTTCTTTCTCATCATTCATACCACAAATACCCCAATGACATATATAGCTTTTGGCATACATTGTTTTTAAACTGTAAAAATCTATAATGAAAAAATAGAAAATGGGAAAGGTGTCTACTTGAAAATAAAAAGTTAGAAATTAAAAAAGAAAAAACTTCTATGAAACCTTATGAGCACTCTATTAAGGATATTTAATAAAATAAATTTGTAATTGAAAAAAGTTTGAACTCGTTATTTTACAGTGACCTAAATATTTTTATTATGAAAATCCATAATTAAAATTCAAAATATTAAGAAAGTGTCTCATTCCTCATTTAACTTGAAAATAGAAAATCAATAATATTGAAAAATGGGTATTTTGTCTTCCTCGATGCAAGGAGGCCTTCTTTATAGACCACCATTGTTCCTTGGCGAGAGGTGCGCTGCTGTTCAATTGTCAAATCTACTTTTTTTAAAGAGGAGTTATCTTTAATAGGAATTAAGAGTTTGAAAACCCTAAAATATTCAATGGGTAAGAGACATTCAAACAAGAAACAATATCTCAATATTCACATATTCTTGCAAGATAATGAAAATTCATAATGCGTTACCCCCAATTTTTCTTGAAAATCTAGAAATCATCATTTATAACAATTTTTAGTGATTTTTAAATATTTTCCTAAGGCTGGATCTGAATGATTCACCGATCCGGACTGCCAATCCGTCACCTGTTTTTTGGATGGATGTTCGGGGTTACCGATCCATTTTTTTAAACATTGGTTTGGGGTTGAAGGGTGGTCGACAGTCATTTAGTCGATAAGAAAGAAAATATTGATTCCATACTTTTTAGTTTTAGATAGGATATGGTCTTTGGAATTTTCATGTCCAAGATAAGGCATGTTTAGTCTTGGTTGCTGCCAATTCCAGAGTGTTCAAAACTGAACATATTTATATATTTATTTTGATAAAGTGAGAAACTGAATTCCGATGCCCACTCTGTTGTCTACCCAGGGCATCTGGTTGTGGGAGTATGTTTAAAGAAGATGATGCATTGATTGAGTGCTAATCTGGCCTGTTGGACTTCTCAGTTTTGTTGATGTTCTTTACCTGATTACTGAGCTCTATACAGTCCACTTCTGGGTTGGATAAGATATTCTAGTAATCTTCTTTGGTGTCTAGTCATTTCTTTAGTAGATGGAGATCTTGATTTTAATCACGTATTAGAATTTGGAAGTTTTTAATGTGTAATGACAGGCTGATGGGCTAAGTGGATGGTGCAAACTTGTCAGACTGGTGTTATTGGGATCGCTCCCTTTTGTATTTGTTTTTAGTTTTTGAATGTGGGATTACTCCCTTTTGTATTACCAACAATGTTCTTAAATATTCTCTGTTTTCATGCTCTATTACTTGTAAATAAAATAGTGCAGTAGCTTATCAGCTCTGTAGATCTGGTTTTAGTCTCTGCTTTGGTGGTTTTGATTTCTGATGTGTATACTAGCATCCAAATATACCAACACTTTAGTAATTTGTTTATCGTTAATGCTTCATGCTTCAAGTTTGTTTAGCTCCTGTCTTTATTTCCTGGTGTGCATAATGCTTAATGTTTCAAGTTTGCTTCCCACCTGTCTTTTATTTCCTGATATGCATTTTGTCAAATGTGATACTTTCTTCCACTATGTTGGTATATGCATACTTATTTGTCTTCGTCTTTTGTAACTTGATAATGTTTACAAAACTTGTGTCTTTTTATCAGTTTATTTGTGATCGTCCTCAGAGGATCAAAATTGCCACTGTTTTAGTTTAATTTACTCTTTTTTTACCTACCTTGTGTGAACATGTCTTTCTCAGCAGCTGTTAAAAAGTTGACTAATCACTTATGTGTCTTTCATTATATTAGGCTGTTAGCACGTGAAGGGATCAATGCAGAGCAATTGGCTCGTGATTTGAAGTCTTTTGAACTGAAGGTCTCTATTTAATTTCATTATGCACTAAGCTCCTACTAAATACAGTTCTAAACATACTTACTGAAAAAAAATACAATTCTAAATATTCATTTGTTTCTTCAAGAAGAGGTTTCAGCATTTCCTTTTTGTGTGTATTCAAATTCTTTACCAGACAACGCTATTCAAAGAAAATGAGGGCAGGGAAAGAAATAATCCTTATTCCCCAAAGGGCTCCCAAGTACATGCAAAATTATACGGTGGGGATATGATTATGATAAAGAAGCAAAATAGATCATTAGTCGTGCATTGCACTTGTTTCTACAGTTCTTGCTTAATGTTTTGAAAACTTCTGATGAACATCTGATTTGAATTTTTTTTCGTTTTTTGATGTTTATCTTGAATTTATTGACATCTGATTAGAAGTGAAATTTAAACTCTTCCTATATGTTTGTGAAACCTTTGCTTTAGAGATGATTAATGATGTATACTAATTTCTGGAGTGGAATCTTTACGAATTATTAAAAGCAATTCAATTGGATTTTCTGTCCATCATCGAACTTAGGATTTGATTTTATAGGGATGAGGAAAAGAGAGAAAGAGGAGGAGGAGGGAGGAAGGGAGGGAGGGAGGGGAGGGAGGGAGGGGGGAGGGGGGGGGGGGGGGCGGGGGCGGGGGGGGGGGGCGAGGTGGTTGGTGGGTTGTGGGGGGAGGGGCGAGGGGCGAGGATCGAGGTTC